TACTTGAATAATGCGCGGTAACCGACACGGCCGGATATCACCTCGCTCCCCATGTATATGCTCGCGCAGATCCTGCGCGGTCTGATTAAACGCGTGCTGTGAGCTAATCCGACTCCCGGTTTGTTGCAGTGCACCTACAGCCTGACTTGTTGGGCGTCAACCAGCCAGTGCACAAGAACTGATTCGTACGGTCCTCGAACTGGTGACTAAACACAGAGGTTAATGGAAATTTCCAGCTGAATAGTTACTTCCGAAGGAACGACTATCGGTTAAAAACAAACAGCAAATGCCAGTTATGAAACAAGATTTCGTATGTAGCATACACTGCTTTACCGTAAAGTGGTCTCCGGAGTTTAAACGCTTATTGCACGTGGGCCAAATATTGGTTTGGCACACAGTCAGATGACTCCTATATGCAGCCCAGTCATGAGCATAAAAATTTGCTTAAGTCCAGGAGAGAAGTCCGTGGTCGACTGTAACTACGACTATTCGAGCCTGAGACTAGATCGCGTAATCATAAGATGGCAGCCACAAGTGCCACCAGGCTCTAAAACTTCTTTTGCAGACCTTTTAAAATCTCCGGGAAGTACCCTAAGAACAGTTTATTGGGCGCAGGTTAATAAATTATCTTTCACAGACATCGATGCTACAGCCTTAACACATAATCCTCCCCCCCTAATGATATATGCCGGTAATGATCCGATGTGTGCCCCTCCACTTTGATTTAAGGGGGGCTGAACCTAACCTTCTTCGCTTTTAGTCATTTCCTCTTATCCCTCCCTCATGTGTTACCATTATGATTAGGGTTGGAGGTAGAGATTAGAGTTAGGGTTAAATGCTATTGAAGAGGAGGGACAACGGAAAATGCTTGTAGATTGATATCGTCTCTATTCAACTAATCATAATCCTGACTAACAAGTGGGACTGAAAACGAAAATATGTGCTCGAGTACGGCACAGATAGTCCACTGACTGGGTCTGGCTGATAATTTTGTAAGAACTTCATCGAACCGAAGTTCACAAGTGTTTCGCCACCTTTCGCTGCAGATCAGGTGTTCATTTAAACAGAAAAGGGCACGTACGGATCCATTAGCTTACCGGAGCAAACAGGCTCCATAGGGGTATCAAAGGTTACGAGTAGACAACCAACTACTAGGTCGAAGTCGGTCAAATTATCATTGCAGAGTAGAGAAACGAGAGAAAATTCGGGTAGATTGATACAGTCTGTTTCGAAATTATCCTGTCTTCATTCAACCAATTGCAAGCCTGACTATTAGCTGAGGCCCGTTTAAGGGTTAGAACTAAAAATTAAATCGGTGATTAGAAGATAGATTTGGAGCTCATTACTTATGATTTTAAATTTAGTATTAAAGCTAGGGTTGGGCTGTAGACATAGAGTAAGTGTAATCGGTTCAGCTATCAATGTAGTCGATGTAGATAGTGCCTTCAATCGCGGGCATCACGAGCGCTAGTTCTAACGACATATTCTTCTTACTTTTTCCTGCAGTGTGACCAGTCCTTATGTACTAGACTCAGTTTGCCTGGAACATCTAACCAATGTCCTCGGTTTTACTTTCTCCCTCCACTTACAGCTCCTAGCTGCCAATATTTCAGCCTTCGTTTTTTTCAATGCAAATCACATTAAGCCGGAAGTAATCCAATGGCATTAAAGGTCACAAGAAAAACATAAAACCCTGCTTTTCTAAGTTCAACCAGTTTAGAGCATTGCAGCTGCAAATCGATATATCGAAGATAAACATGAAAGAGGATGCCAAATACTTACGTGGCACCGGGGTCGTACTCAGCCCAGACGCGGATAAATTCGTCCAAGTGGTGGGAGCCCAGGATGGAGGAATCTCGAGTCAGGTAGTCAAAGTTATCCATAATGACGGCCACAAAGAGGTTGAGCATGATGAATGAGCAGAGGAATATGAAGCTGACAAAATACACATAGGCTATACCACTGCCGCATGTATGCTCCGGTTTGTTGGCGCATGGCTTTGGATAGTCAGAAGAGAGCATCAACTCTTGCCAGGCCTCGCCAGTGGCGCATCTAAGGGTAGGAAGACAAGAAATGACCGGTAAAATAAGTGCAGAGGAACTAGAAAAAGCAATGGATGGTTAACCTTGTCGACTTGACAGTTCGACCATCGATCTTGACCATGTCTACCATGTGCTTTAGCAAGCTGAAGGCCAGAGCCGTCGTAAGCCTGCGGCCGCACCTGGGTCCCATTCCAGGTGAGTGGGAGTGTCACAAAGGCCACATTAAGAAGGAGCCATTGCAGCCTGGCTCATAATCCGCCATTTAGCCACTTTGCGCAAACACACCCCTGGGCCGACTACATAGTCCGAGTTATCCGTCTGTGGGCAACCTTCCAAGCCGTTGCTTTTAGCGCACCGGGGTAGCTTCAAGTGCGTCAGATTGTTTATAGAGAGGAACGTGCACTAAGCCGTTGACTCCATTTACTTCCAACCCCCTTCATC